TGGCCAGCAGCACGAGCCATCATCCGCTATAACATAACAGGATGTTTCAAAAAAGAGCAAGAAATGTCATTAATTAATATGAAATCGAGGAAAATTTTTATCACACTGTATTTGAATTTAAATAGAATATAGAATTAGTATTAGTGAAAATGTTATGTTTTAATTTAATATTTTATGTTTTTTTATTATATGGACAAAATGTCATTAAAAAAAACGTAAATTTTAAACTATAAAACAATTTCCTCTTTTTGACGCTGTGAAATTCTTTACAACATCTAGTAATCTAGTCAAGTGGTCCATGGCTCAGGAAATTAACTATTACATCGCACCTGATTGTCCTGAATTCACTATTTGATTGCTCGAATTAAATTACGCTATGAATTTACCGCTCCAGCGGTAATAATCTTTAATTTTTGCATCAAAATTAAATAATTACACTTTTTCTGTTTTTAAAATTTGTTTTATATTAAAATAATATAAATATGTGTCTAATAATTTATTTTTGCTTTTTTACATCCGCATACTTTGCTTTTTTCGTTTTGATCCGAACAAGATCCGAATCATCATCTAGTTTAGAAATGATATATCGTCGCGCAGCGAAATAATGATATGTTCTTTGACTTCCACCGAGCGAATAATAAATCTACACCGAATATGAGTAGGAATATCGTTCTTTTTTCTTCATGGCAAATGACGCGGATAATTTCTTTCGATGCGAGGTTTGTTGGTTTGGTTGCGGGTATATCGGTGTACGAGTAGTCTAGTTTAAGTTTTTAGTGTTGCAAAACAATAACGGTTCGGAGCTCGAATTCGATGGATGATTTATTATCACCTCGTGAGTTTTCATCGGGTATCGACAAGCGCCAAATATTTACCTATGTTGATTATATTATGGAATTTTGTAAAATGTGAAGTTTATTTACAGGTAACGCAATTTTAGTTTTTTTCTTTAACATAAACGCTGAATCTTGTGACTAAAATGTCGTTTAACGCACTCTTAAATACTATATTCTACTTTCATATTTAAAATTCCACTTTTCTTCAGTTTTGCGCCACAAAAAGTGGCACTTTAATCACGAACAGCTTAAACAGTGACTAAAGTATTTTAGTCACGGGTTTTAGTCATGGGGTCGAAGTTTTAAAATACCAAAATTCAAATACAAAACACTAAACGTGGAAATAAAGTGGAAAAAGACAAAATATCTTAAGCATCACATCGCTAAACGTTGTTAAAGTGCCGTTTACCATACTTGATTCTTAATATATTATTGTGACACCTTGTATTTTATGATTTATTCTATGATGAATTATTCAGATTGGAAAATATACGCACGCGACACGAATCGTTCAATTCGGCGACATTAATGAGTTTTAATCTCAAGAGTAATGTTGCTTATTAATAATTTACGCACTTGTGGATAAAATATAGTATTCCACTCACATAAAAATGCAGTAGTAGCACAATTAGTAATTTTTAATTTGTTTCACCACACATTTCAATAACAAATAAACGGATATTGCGTATCCTCATGTCTGGCATCTGTTTCACATTCGTTGTTCGTTTTATTGATGTGACTATAAACGCAGATACATCAACCATTCTATCCTTGTTTAGATTGTATAAATACGAATATGTCCGTTGGCATTTATTCAAAATCGCGGCACGAGTTCCAACCGTACGTATCTCCTCAGAATCGAATTATAAATTATGATTAGTGACTTTAAGTTATAATTACTATGATTAAAACAGTTGCACGAAATGTTTGTATATCTAATATAATAATTCTGATAATAACAAGGCGATGAAATCTCGCTGAGTACCAAACGAATGCGAACATGTGTGTTTGTGAGATGTTACAAAAAAAATTTATATAGTTAAGAAGTTTAAATGTACGCGCAGAGTCATGAAATGAAGCATCTTGGTTGGCAGCGCTTCTAACTGTTTTTGACTTCATAAATAAATGGGGACGTTGATATTCGTTGATGTAGAAGACCACGGAGAAGGTTTCCAACTGCGAACGCAGCGCATTCCGAAAATCAAAACTCGAATTAAACTCAGTGCTTACCGTTTCGTAATTTCATCAAATTTTAATTATCTACAATTTAAACATGATGTTCTACACGGAATTGTTACATTGTATGATTGGGAAAAAATTTGGGAAAAAATATTTGAAATATTTTGTCGTAAATAATAGGCAACCCAATGTGCAACGCACGCGTAAAATCAATATGTACTTCAATAAATTTCGCATTTAATTGGCGTTTATCTATTACATTGCTAGGTATTTTACGAGCAGTACATTCCAACATCGTAAACTCATATTTATATAAAGAATTTAGAGGAAATTGTTGATTTAGTTAGTAAAAAAACTTATTTTTGTTTATTTAAGCTTTAAATTTGAAATTTTTAGTCCAAAATGGAAAATTTGATACAAAATCAACAAAATTAATGAAAAAAAAAAATAATACCAAGAAAATAAAATCGAATTACTCGTGGTATGCAACTCTCTTTACACCTAAAGTGTGTTCTGGTGGGGGAAGTGACGTCAGTGTTGAGTTTTCTCTCTGATTGGTTTTTCTTCAAAATTTGGCATTTTTTTACTTTTTCGTGTTTTATCATGAATATAATCATTAATAATGCGCAGTTAATAAATTATTAAATTCTATAACTCATATTTCATTAAATAAATAAATAATTTTAGCGATTTTCAGTCATAATTCTCACAGATCCAATTATGAAAATATTCCCAGTGAATTATTGGCTTTCAACGCGTATGTTAAACAAAAGTAAACACCAATCCTGAATATAAGCATTAAAGTGTCAAATTTGGTGAGCGCTGTGAACAAGTGTGTGAAACACACTCGTGTGTACGCTGGTGGAATATTCAAATTTATGTTTGATGCGTGACAGGCATTTTTAATTAAGAAAAAAATCAAGAAAACCTATGAATTGCATAACCGTACATACACATTACAATCGCCCACATATTCACGTATAAATAATTAAATTATTTATAAATAATTTTATATATTTTTTTAGTTTTTGCGAAACTGGATAAAAAACTAGTGTGTAGTTCGTGTTAATCGTGGTTTCGAGTAATTTCCAGCTCAAAAAGTTAATAGTTAAAGAAGGTGCGTGCTGCGCATGCGCGCGCAGCTCAGTGTTCCCAGGATCCGAAGGGTCAAGTAGCGCCACTAATAGATCTCGGCGCTAATCGGTTTAATTCAATTTATTATTTTCTGTGTGCGCGCGCGCGCACGCGGTGTAAGACAACGAAAAAGCTTTTGACCGACGGACGGACGCGTCGATTATCGAGGAGGAATTTCAGTCAAAACGTCAATAGGCAGAGGTACTCGTATAGGTAGTGCGCGCCTGGCTTTGCATACGGTCATGAAATTTTCGCTGGAGACTGACGTGAGAAGCTGCGGCGTGCAGGAAAAGAGGCGCAGAAGATGACTCGCGTGTAATTAGCAAACCGATCACCTTCCAACAACTAATACGGAGCGATAACGTGTTCGCAATCAATAATCTTTTCACCAATACGCGAAAATCACTTAAGGTAACTTAAGTTAAGTAAAATTTTCAAGTTTACATGAGAATTTGCTGATTTTCAATAAGTTTCACACGAGATATTTCACAAAAAGAGAAAAATTAGTGGGTAGTTATTTTTTATACACTAGTGTGTAAAAAATTACTTTATGCATGCAAAATCATTTTTTAGGTGTTTTATTGCATTGCAAATCATTATTTTTCACATTTTGACCATAATTTGACAGGATTTTTAAGAAAAAATTACTTTGCGTGTTTAAAAATGACATTTTCCGTTCTTCTTTATACACTCGTGCCTAAAAACGTACTTTAGGCACTGAAAATCTAAAAACAAATCCACCCGATGTTTTTTTGAATTACAAATGATTATTTTTTCAATATATAAACTAAAATTGACAATAATACCTTATCAACTTACTTTGCGTGTTAAAAAGTTTCACTTTACGCACAAAACATACAATATTTTCTATCCTAACCTTAAAATTTCGTAACTAATAACTTAAATCGCTTCCCACACTTAGATAATCTCGGCGTTGTGCAAAACGTGTTAACTGTTAACTGCGCATGCGCAAAAAACTTAAATTTTTCCGCGTTGTTTTCACGTATCGTCCGGCTTACTCGTATGCCTATGCACAAACGCATAATTTATGTCGTGTCGATCGCGCGCACTCTCGTATTTGCTTGAAGGACGTAATTAAAACCGCGCGATAATTACGCCGGCCGCAATTAATCATTCATGTGCGCCAATACTGCGAACCGACTCAAACTTAAGCCGCAAGTGCGCGGCGTGGTGGGGGGTGAAATGTTCTCAAATGGCGAAAGAAAAGCTTAATTATTTCCTATTTATCATTTGTGTGCATGCACACGAACAATTTACACAGTGTACATATTATACAGGGTGTTACAAAATTTTTATTATTAAAATAACTAATCTAAAAGTAAAATATTAAAATTTATTGTTTAGGAATTTATTTAAAATGAAAAATTGTTTTTTTCCGTGAATAAATTTATTTGAAAGAATAAATGCGGTTTTTTCATGCTGGATTTGCGCAATTTCCTCCGCGCGAATGAAGAAATCAAAGTGCAGCCGCGTCGGACACCTTTTGCGCAAAGAATAATTGTTATAAATTACAGCGGCGGCGCGCGGCGGGCGAGATGAACATGTCCGCCACACACGAAATCCGCGCGGCGCGGCGCCGCGTGCGCCAGACCTGCAATTATCACATAGAAACGCGGATATTTAGTTCTCACATAGATTATGATTACCACCCATTTTGATTAATAACATGCGCGTCGAACGGCAGACGCGCAAAACGAAAATTTGCGTGTGAAGCGCACCGAGCGAAGATAAATAAAATAAATCGCCAAGACCGTAAAAACACCCAATACAAGCGTTTACGAGTATGTTTGGTTTGTTGATGGTTTTATTCGTGTTGTTGCTTTGCCCTAGATGTCATTCGCAGGGATTATGTTCGAGACGTAACGCCGGAATTTCTGCGTGGGTTTTTCAAAGGCGCACGCCTCGGTTGTAAGTACGTACGCATTTTTTTTGTGGTTCTAGAGCGGTCGTTACCGACATTAATTTGTTGTTATTTGCTTTGTTGTAGTTGACGGGCTGACGGTTTAAGAAACATAAACGTGTGTTACGTTTAGAGTTGCTAAATATGGTTATAATGCATTTAAAGGTTATAATATCGACAGGCAACCAGTTATGCACGCGTTAAACTAATAATAAATGAATAGAAAACTGTAATATAAATTAAATAACAAAATAAATAGTGTTTATTGTTGTTTTATTGCATTTATTGAGTAAAAATGGCATTTTTGTAATTTTCCGCGAGGTGGCGTTAGTGGTTTTCAAATCTAGGTGAAGAAAAAGTTGCATAGCGTTAGTTTTAATCAAAATAAAAGATTTTTGAGTGGAAACTAAGCGTAAAAATTGTTAAATTAATAATAGATAATTATTATTATTATTTTATTGAATAATTTTAGTTAAAAAGACATTTTTTATACGCCGCGAGATGGCGCAAGTGATTTTTGACATCTAGCTGTAAAAGAAGTTGCCTAACCTTGTAATTTTGATTATAAAATATTTATGCGTGAAAATTAAGCCTAAAATAAAGTTGTACTACTTAAAACCTTAAAATAGTAATTAATTTTAATTTAAAACTAATTTCAGTTGGTTTAATTCATTAATGAATCTAATTCTGTTTGTTTTCTAGCATACTTAGCTCGATTAAACAATAATAACCGCATAATATCTCTACAGTTGAATTCTACTTTGGATTAAAATTAAAATTAATAATTAATTAATTAATCAATTGAAATTATGCACGTTGACGCCCATTCTAATGTTGGTTTTGCCAAAGAACAAACGAACAATTTCACATTTCGTCCTGCGCGTCCTCCTCGCATTATTGTATTCAAATTTTCCATTATGAGATGGACGCGCGATAGCAGAATGGCCGCCGCTCCAGAAGAAGGCATTGTTTCGACGAACACAAGCGGGGAAAGAAATCATAAGCGAACAATTTTCGTTGGTATTGTTTAACGCGTTTTTTAACCACTTTAGGCTGTGTGATGTGCGCTGTACCAACGATGAAATTGAATATGAATACACGATGAGGTCTTGTTTGTGAAAAAGAAAGAGTTGAAGATGGTCGAGGTTCCGCTATGAATAAAAAATTAATAACGCAATAACCGTACTAAATGCTTTTAAGAGGATGTCTTGTTTTGTTCTTGTTGCATTCAAAATTTCTATTACGATTTAAAAGCACCGGTGGAATTATTATGTTGGGTTTATAAGTAAGTAATGAAATCAATAAATTCAATAATTAATTAGGAAATATTTTAGAAACCGAATTATTCACATGTGTAGTGTATAAGTGTATAAATTCTTGCGGTCTGAGTCGAGTCGAATAATCAACACACGTTTATTTTTTGCGCCTATGCCGCTGAGAGCATTTAATGACTTAATCGCGGCGAGAGTTTCTTTTTACTTAAGACAGCGAGCAAAAATATTTGATCATTTGGTTTTTTATAGTTTATTTTGATTTATTGATCTGTGCAGATAGGTATAACTGAAGAAAGCTTGTTGGAATCACTCAAATTCATATTTTATTATCATAACCTCAAATTATTTTATGTTTATTCGCCAAAATTATAAAATTTATTAAAATATTGTGTAACGGCATAATTTTAATTAGTTTTTTTCTGATTTTAACCTAAAATTGAATGATTTTAACTTTAAGTTTGAAATTTTGATCAGAGAGGGCGCCACGAGGCTTGTGTCACTTATAAATTAGGTTAAAAACAGAATTTTGTAAAAAATTACATTTTTAATCATTTATCAATTTTCTATGATAATATTTAAAGTACTAATGCTTATAAATGTGTTTTTAATGTATTAATATGTAAATAATATACATTATTGTCATTTAAACGTAAATTTAGACATTACTGACGATGATCCTATAAGATTTCTATTAATTTCTAAATTTCAATTTAAATGAATATTTAATTTAGCTACGTCAAATTGTTAATTAGATTTTACCGCATTTGTAGATTTTATTCATCTTATTATATGAATAATTCACGACCAACTAATAGCAAAACAAACAAATTGGAAAATAAATTGAAAATTTGCAAATTTTCTCACTTCTAGGCAACTAACCAACTTTCTCTTTGATAAATAAATTCGATAATATCATCAAGTACAAATGTGTTAACACATAAAAAACTAAAAAGTTTTTATTTCAGTTTTTAATATTATATATACGACGAGTATTTATACATTTATATCGGTTATAAGTTATGATGATTGTAACACGACTTAAATTAGTTTCGAGCGGCGGCATTGGCCGCGTCAACGAAAAGAATTACGAACCTCCATAATGAATTAATAGTGTACTTAACCCGTTTAATAAAAAAAAACGAGCTGTGGCACGAGCTTAAATATGCTTTGCGGAATAATTTGTATCGACGTTCATTTACGGATGAATCGAAATCTGTGCTGCGGCGAGACGTTCATTACGCTACATTAGCATTCGACGTACGTACGAGTATAAGCAAAAACTTTTTAAAGTATTAATGATAATGGCATGGATTATAGACTTTTTTATTGAAAACTTAAATTGCGTGCAATTAAGAGTGAAAATATCAAGGGCTTTTAATGTGTCATAAAAATATGATTTTAATGTGACTTTTGACATCAGGAATTAAATTAATTTTAATTTCGTTAAAATTTTGCTATAATTTCAATTATTTTTGTTTAAAAATGTGTTTTGACAAAAATACATTAAAAATATACTATTTCCTATAAAGCACCACTTTTTCCTCGGCTTTTAGACACGAAAAGTGGTATTTTACTCATGGTCGTGACTAAAGTACTTTAATCACGAGTTTTAGTCACGGGGTGAAGCTAGCGCTTGTGTATTTGTCTACGGTGCTAACATAAACATTAAAATAGATTAAAATTTAAAAAAAATAGCGTACACTACAAAATAATAATTTTGGCAATCAATTTTGTTTGAATTCTTACATTATTCGTTTTAATATTTAAAAAACACATTCATTGTGATTTTTTCTTGGTATTTACGCTCAAAATCACTTCGTTTATGCTCAGTGATGTAGCTGATAAAACATAATCATTCCACAGCGTGGACCACCACAATTCCCAATCAATTCGTGCAATCATCCAATCTCCAACAATCTACCAATCATTTGTGTAAAGCGCCTGCGCCGGTCAAACAATTTAAAACCTCCAAACTCCAAAATTGTAAACTGTAATAGATACGTTAAGAGTCATTTGTGTAGATTGCTCCCAGATTACAACTAGCCGGGCAGATAACGCAAGCACAATCATTGTACTGATGTTGAGTGATGTCGAAGCGTGTAAAATTTCGACTCGGAGATTATTCAAAATTTAAAGCGCTTGTTGTGTTGCGTTGCGTTGCGCGGCCGCGTCGAATGGTCACTTGGTCAGTTTCACCGTGGGGAATCTGTTTGTTTGCGTTATGGCGGCAGTGGCGCACTAGCGCGCGAATGGCAATGGCGAGATTGATATCCGCGATAAAGAACGGTCACGGTTCACCTCGTGTTCGAGATGATAGAATACGAGGTGCGCGCGCGGAGCACCTGTCTCGGTCTAGTTGAGCCGCATATTTCTTCTGATAGATGATACAGACGCTGCAGAACAGCGAAAAATGAACGATTTTTGAAGTTTTCATCTTGAAATTACATTCAGAGTGGAATTAAAGCAAATTTAACCTCAAAAGTATTACAGATTACTGTAATATGACACATAAAGTACTTTAGTCACGGCTTTAGCCATTCGTGATTAAAATACCAATTTTCGTGTTTCAAAACCGTGGAAAAAGTAGCACTTTAAATGTGGAAGTTGAAGAAAATGATTTTATCAATATATGCAACCCAATATACACATTAATTCTCCTTTCAACACAAATATCAACTTTCATATCATATTACTTATGAATATGTGTTTTATTAATTTTTATAAATTTGTTCAATTAACGATAAGAAATTTTACTGTTTGTGAACGTTAACAACTAGGATATATCAAGACACAAGACACCAATTATAATAAAATAATAAATGATTTGTGGCATTTGCAATTGCCTTGCATTGCATTAAAACGAATTCATATATAACAATTATTACTTTCAGAGTGCGCGATTTCTCGTCCGTTTTCCGTTATATTCATATATACCTACTTCTAGTATAACTATAATTGATTGATAATAGATATTATTCTAATTTTATAATTTTCTAATGATTGTTATTGAGCGCATGCGCTGCACTGGCAAGCGAAGAATGGAAAGTGAAACTGATTGATACGTTTATTTGCACATGCACAATGTTTTCACATGGAATTAATATGCTCTTAGGGCATGCTGGGAACAAGTGTCCACTCAGAATCAAACTCGAGCTTGTTATATGATAATTAATTAATAAATAATTATTATTTGCATTTCCTTCTTTGGTATTAGTGTGTTGAAAAATTACATTTGTGGTTGCAAAAGTTATAACGCATTATTTTATTTTTTCGAGGTTAAAAGGAGGTTAGTGTACAAATAAATGCATGTATGTTGGGTTGCATACCTTTCGCTCGGTCGCTACTTTGTAAAAACGGTTGTAAATGGTTTTTTCGTTCTATGAAGCAAACTAATCGGTCAAAAATGTTATAAACAAGCAATATTTGTAGAAAATTAAATTCTCTACAACTTTTGTTAATAACTTTTTATTATAGAACCAAAAATAACAAAGTTATGAATAAAAATAACTTTGTTTTTGCAAAATATCAACTTTAGAATCTTTTTTTGCAGCCCCCAAAGAAAAATATACTATTTTAACGAGTTGTATGAATTGTATTGTGTTGTTAATATGATTTAGTTTATTGTTGAAATGTATTGTTACTTAAATATTTGATAAATGTCAACTTTGACCCGGCTGACTGCACCGTGTGAGATCGCGTTAACCCCGCGACGAACTTTACTCATCAGCGAGTCGGTGTCAGCTTCGATTAGTGTCGGCCATGACAAGAAACAACCGAAAGAAGCGAAAGACGAGAAGAATGTGTAATTTATGCGCGAGGCGTGCAACCGACGCAGTCGTCGATCCGTCAAATGTGTCGAACTAAAGAACAAATTGTCC